ACAAGCATAAAACTCATACATCCTTATGACTATAATGCAATGGTGATGGATCCACTTACTTAAACAACAATGGTGCCTTATCCAATCGTCTTCTCACAGCTCTCACCTGCCCAACAATGGCTGCCCTCCAACAGTCACTTCTTAAAACCATGTGTCTTAGAGACAGAGATGAAGTAAGAATAAGTGGCGTGGGTGAGAGAAGAGGCTTAAGTACTCTTGTGTTTGAGGTGGATGACCAAGTGTCACTAAGAGGCTCAAAAATCTGGACAAGTGGCTCTCAAATCAGCATGTATTTAATAAGTGGCACTCATAATTCATGCATGTCAGAAACACAGCTGACACTACACACACGATGACACACAGCCGGCATTGGTCTCTTCACAGCCGGCGCTGCTCACAACACAGCTGGTGCTACACGCTCAACACAGTCGGCGTTGGTCTCTTCACAGCCGGTGCTGCACAGTCAACACTGCCGGTGCTGCACAGTCAACACTGCCGGTGCTAGTCTTTTCAAAGCCGGCGCTGCACACTCAACACAATCGGTGCTGGTCTCTTCACAGCCAACGCTGCACACAACACAGCCGGCGCTACACACTCAACATAGCTGGCGCTACGCTCTTTACTATCCTTCCTTCCTCCTTATACTGCCATGCACTCTAACTGGCCAGGAAAAATCTGGGTCGTCACATTCATATGCCAAGGGAGTATCTATATCTCAGAGTTTCGTCTTATAGAACGTAAGTTATGATGCACATGTGTAACTAACGATGAATTCAAAAAAATATGTATATCAAACCTTTTCAGGTTCCTCCACATATCACGTAGATAGACAGATCAGGCCTTAGGAGTATATGTATCCTAGAACTTATCTCACAATGAGATGCTTTTCAATTTTTCTATCATAGACTATAAGTTGAACTTGAACATACTTAACTAACGAGCTATCATATCTGTATTGGTCGTAATTCTGGACATATAAGGCCAACTAGCGAGTCCAAAACTCTAAAGGTATATTGGGAGCCTCGCATGATAAATCTTGAGCACATCATGTCTTTCATATCATGAGATATATCTAAGCATGTGTTATAAAAAACCATGCGTATATTCTGTCCACTGTCTGTTAAAACAATTATCCAGTGTGCATTACCGACTTTGTTGTATAATTGACATCTTCAATCAATCAAGCGGTTGTTAGAACGTACTTAGTCATATATGAGGACTAAGAAACATATCTTCAAAGGCAAAGCCTATTCATTCATTCATCCATCATTAATTAAGATAACTTATCCAACATGCATTATAAAACTCACGCTTATCCAGCCTTGGTTCAAAATCTCACGCTTGCATCAACACTTCTATATAGCATTGGTTAAAATACACTTAGCCACATGTGAGGACTAGGAGTGCACTCAACCCACAACATGTCTTCAAGATTTTAGGCTTATCCAGCATCTGTTAACATCTCAATCTTGATCGAGTGTTCATTGGAATGCATCTAGTCTTGTGTAAGACTAAAAGTACACCCAACATAATTGTACCTCTATTTATAGAGTAGTAAACCAATCACTAAATTGAAGTGATTTGGGAAAGGATGCGGTTGGCATGCGGGCCAAGCCCGCATATGTAGAAATGCGGGCCCATTAATAAATCTATTTTTTAGATGGATTTTTGGACTTAATTTTTAATGATATGTAATCTCTAACATGGAGATCATGAATATGAATACATAAATAAATTTTAAAAACTAGAAATAATAATTTTATTACGAAAACATTTGGACGGTTAGTTTCAATTGTTTTTAGATGGACCATATATTTGCATCCATCTTTAAAATTGACACTTTATACTTCTGGACTGCATAATAATTCTATTACAAAAACAAGTATGTGTTTTAAACTTTAAATTGATTAATGATTCATGGTTCAGGAAAGTCGCATGCATTTGGAAAGTGAGCAAAATTATGACATATCCACCAAATGAACACCACTAAAAATCAAGTAGGAGAATTTGGTTTAAAAATTTCCAAAAATAAAAAAGGAAGACGATTGAAGGAAAGAAGAAAGATGAGCTATACTGCACCCTCATGTTGGCCATAGATCGCTACTCAAAGGTTCTGTTGCTAAGGCATCCCCTGCCAAACCATTTCACAATCTGCCTAAATTGCAAGCTCTCTCTCTCTCTCTCTTTAAATTGCCACCTCTCTCCCCCCTTTCTCTCTCCTCCCTACTTATTAATGGCTTTCACTGTATCCATCCCTTCATTGATCTGCTCTTTTTGCTAATATTTCAATTTGTTTATCCTTTTATAGTTGATTCCATGTTCATACGCGTGCTCTGTGTGTGAGTATGTTTTATTTTCAATTCAAAATTTTCATTATAAACTAACTCATGCTCTTTCTTTTGTAAGATCTGATGAACCCATCCCTATCCTTTCATTTTCTTTTCAGCTTGGATTGGGGCCGCACATTCTCTATCTTTCTCCATATCAACTTGTAATTTTAGACTCTCTCTCTCTTTGGATTAAGCAATGTCAATGACTAGACGACCAATTGATTAAGTAAACTATAGGTTATTTCTTTACCAAAGAGAATTCCATTACCAAAAAGGAAAAATGATCCATCCCAACTAGATTCTTGAGCCCCATAAAAGCCCCAAAAACCAAATGAAGTGATATTTTAGGTCCTAAGCAAAGCTTGGAGATGAAAACCTAAGAAAAAGGCCATGATTAGAAAAGAAAATTTCATGCATAAACCCTAAAAGGTGTCTTCCTGCAATAGAGATTATAAAACCTTAACAGGTGCCTTCCTCATGGGTAAAAGAGATTGTAAAGCGAATTGAGAGAGAAAACGATGGCTTGAAGTGTTGGAAGAGAGAGAGGTGGAGGTTGGGAGCCTTCGTTTAGAGAGGGGGCCCGGGTGCCTCTTTTAGACGGGAGTAAGGAAAGAGACAAAAGAGGGGAATGAGTGGATGATGAAAAGAGTGATGTAAAAATAATTTTAACGGAGAAACTGAATCCCTTAAGGGTATGTTTAATAGCACCTCAATATTCCAATATTTTAAGATAATATAGAATTTATAATGATTCTAACTATATGTATTCATATGCCCTATTTGATAGAGTCAAATCATATATTCGAATATTCAAATAACCCTCAAATATCTAAATCCCCAAAAATTCAATTTCTTGTTGAATTTTTCGAGATTCAGTTTTATTGTCAAAATTATTTTTTGCGTCTCTTCTTTTATCATCCACTCATCCTCCTCTTTTGTCTCTCTCCTTACTCCTATCTAAGAGAGGTCCCCTCTCTGAATGAAGACAAACAACCACCACCTTTCTCTCTGTCGACAATTCCTACCATCTTTCTCTCCCTCAATTTGCTTTACAATCTCCATCTTTCTCTCCCTCAATTTGCTTTACAATCTCTGTCACTCATGAGGAACGAACCTGATAAAGTTTTATAATCTCTTTTGCGGGAAGACACCTTTTAGGCTTTGCACATGAAATTTTATTTTCTAATCCTTCTCTTTTTCTTAGGGTTTTCATCTCCATACTTTGCTTAGGGCCTAATATATTACTTCATTTGGTTTTTTGGGGCTTTTATGGGTCCCAAGACCCTGGTTGGGGATGGATCTTTTATCCTTTTTGATAATGAAATTCTCTGTAATTTTTTTGATTGGTAAAAAAAAATCTATGGTTTGCTTAAGCAATTAGCCGTCTAGTATTTGCCTTTGCTTCATCCAAAGAGAGAGAGAAAGAGTCTAAACCTACGAGGTGATATGGAGCAAGACAGAGTTCGTAGCCCCAATCCAAGCTGAAATGAAATAGAAAGACATGGATTAGTTCATCAGATGTCATGAAAGAAAGAACATGCGTTAGTTTATAATGAAAATTTTGAATTGAAAATTAAATAGAGAGAGAGAGAGCATGACCATGGAATCAACTATAAAAAGATGAACATATTGAAATGTTAGCAGAAGAGGGCAAATCAATGAAGGGATGGATACAACGAAGAAACCCATTAGTAATGAGAGGGAGAGAGAGATTTAAATTTTCTGAATTTGGGATGATGGCAATTTAAAAGGAGACAACTTGCAATTTAGGTGGATTGTGAAATGGTTTGGCAAGTTGATTTAATTTTTGCTGAATTTTGGATGGTGACAATTTAAAGAGAGACCACTTGCAATTTAGGTGGATTGTGAAATGGTTTGGCATGCGACGCCTCAGTAGTAGCAGAACCTTTGAGTATCAATCTATCTATGGCTAACATGAGGTTGCAATATAACTCATCTTTCTTCCTTCAATCATCTTTTCTTTTTTGAAACTTTTAAATCAAATTCTCGTACTTGATTTTTAATGGTGTTCATTGGGTGGATTTGTCATAATTTCGCTCACTTTGCAAATACAACCATGAATCATTAATCAATTCAAAGTTTAAAACACAACCCTTGTCTACACCTGGTAGCTTTATTTGAAATGCACCAGACAGTCAAACGTGCAAAGAAAAATATATATCAAGATGATATAAAATGTAAATATGTAGAAAGCGGAAAATGTTTTTATTCTAATTTCTAAAATTTTGAATATTCAAATCTTAATTTATCAAACATACCCTAAATTATAGTATTTCAAAATACTTCTTAGTATTTTACAGAAATAAAATACTAACACGACCCACAAGCAACACACCTGATCACTTAAACGTCCTATGCACCTTCGAAAGGTCCAAAATATTATGTACTTAACCTTTGATATTCTTTTCCTTTCCCATAATATTCCTTTTTTTGTTTTCTCCCTGTAATTGAATAAGCTTGCGTACGCTTTTAATTCAAATCGGCAACATCGCACATGCGCCCAACTCATAACTGGCCCATCTCCCAATCGAAACAGGTAACCCCAGCTCCTGGCACGCGATTTGTAAGGTGGTGTAATAAAGAGAGAGACAAAGGACACACACGTGTTAAAGGGCTTCATGCGCCCAACTCATAACTGGCCCATCTCCCAATCGAAACAGGTAACCCCAGCTCCTGGCACGCGATTTGTAAGGTGGTGTAATAAAGAGAGAGACAAAGGACACACGTGTTAAAGGGCTTCTTCGCCCCGCTCCCACACGTTCTCGTCGCCTGCAGCTCTGTAGGAACCATACGCACACTTCCATACACACGCTTAAACTAAGTGTGTGAGAGAGAGAGAGAGCACTTTTGAGTTCTTAGGGCACGGACAATTGCTTGCAGACAAGCCTACACTCTCCCCCTTTCTTCGGGCTGCCATTGGAGGCTTGGAATCTTCTGTTTGGCAAATTATTCAGGTCTTCTCCCTAAGCATTTATGTTCCTTATTTTTATATCTTTTTCTCTCTCTCATTTGTTTTGTTTCTTATTTTTTGTGGCCTTTTATGGAGATTAATTTCTTAATTTTCCATTGTTCAATCTTTGAAAGTTTGTGGTCTCAGAATTTCAAATGCATTGTTTACTCAGTTACAAATAGTTTGCTGTTGTTTTCTGCCATTAACAACATTCTTTCTCTTTTATCTTTCTTAGGCCTTATATCTTTGGAGCTTTCCCATTGAGCTTATGCGAGCCATTGCAATTTCAGCTCGATCAGCATTTGTTTATTAATCTCTTCAATCCAGTTTCAAGTAGTCCGCAATTTTCAATTCTTCAGGTTTTTGGAACTTTCTTTTTCCTCTTCGTTATTTTTGGTGGTATCATGGAGATGATCTGACTCTGCAGATCTCTGTTTTACATTCATTTGTTGCAAATATCTTCAGATCCTTTTTTAGGTTTTATTACACAAACTGATGATCTTATTGGACTTTTCTGGTTGGATTTAAGTTCGGCCCTTGTGCAACTTATTGAGCTTTTTTTTTTTTTCTCATTTCTCTTACAAGGATTTGCAGTGTATTTATCAGTCTCTAATTTTTTTTTTTTACTTTGTCTTTCATTTCTTTTGTTTAATTTTATCCAATGTTCCTTCTAGGGTTTTATCAGCCATTGCTCACCTTCTTGGAGCTTTCTCCTTGGAAATATTTTTTAAAGGCCATTCTCTTGTTTCAGATCATCTCTCTATAACTTTTGCACTGTAATCCACCATTAACTGCGCTGTGGAGTATTTCGCATGTCATATTTGCATTTGGGGAACACAGTTTTTCAGTTCTATTTCAGATTCTAAGCTTGTGCTGCAGTATACGATCTCAACTTCTTTGGATCTCTGTTGATCTCTGGTTTCAAATCAGCTTCAGTTATCTGTTTCCATTTAAACCGTCATTGCTGATCTTCGCCATTGTAAAATTACCTTGACAATTCTTCAGATAATCGGAGATTCAAATCTCTTGGAATCTGCACGCACTTAAGAATTATTCTCAAAGCTTTCTCTTTGATGTCTTTTCAAATCGTCAGCCATGGATGTTTTTGGTGGTGCTTTCTGGTTAATCTGTAGCGCTTTAAAGCCTCTTATGCGAATTTTCAACCATGGATGAGTTCAGTGGAGCTTTCTGATTAACGAGTGCGGCCAGGTTTTGGAAGCACGGTTTAAACGGTCAAGATTGGTTTAGCCTGTGATTTTTGACGGTGCATGTCTGCCTGAAATGGGGTATGATGAGATCGACACCGTTCGTGCCCTGTGCGAGTGTTATACCCACCGCCATTCGAAGAGATTTCCCTTGTTTATTTTGACCGTTCAGATTGTCAGAAGCTATTTTGATTATAATATAACAAACGGATTAAATTAATCTAAATCTCCGAAATGCCGAGTTATTAGTGAAAACTGTCGTAGCCACCAACATGCCCACATTTCAGAATCTATTTCGAGGTTACTCCTTTTTCGAGTTGGCCAAAAGCCTTAGGTTAGCCTATTTAGGTAAGCTTCTATTAGGTAAGCTACATACGAGTACAAAGGTCGAGTGTGAATATGAGTCGGGCCGATCAGATGGTCACGACTTTAGTTTATATTTGAATTTTAATTTTTTTTATAAATTCAAATTACTTGAAATTTTAGTTGTCTTTTTTTTTCATTGAGATACATCTAATAAAAATATTAAAAAAAATAACAAAAATAAATTGATCAAAAGGTTTTGAGATATTTTGGTCTATTTATGTTTTATAAATTATTTTTTTGATATTTTATTAAATTTACTTGTTATTAATTTTAAAGCGTAAATATACCGTTGGGCTCATATATAGCTCTAGTGGGCTAACCTCAGCCATTCCCTCGACTTCATCATTTCTTTTGTAATTTCCTCTTCCTGGAACTTTGGTGATTGTTGATATATATATATATATATATATATATATATATATATATATATATATATATATATA